CAACAGAAAAAGTTCATATTACAAACCTATTAATGGATACGGATCCTGTCAATTAATTCTAAAATCACCCCAGGCTTGCTCAACTAAAATGGGATCGCCCGGCCGGGGCAAAGGAGGCTGAGTATTATATTAGTACTAGCCCCTGGCCTACTCTAGTTCCATATTGGTATTCTAACCTGAAGGCTTTTTTTACCTTCGCAGTATTATCATTTTGTTCCATTTTCATCATAAGATATTCTATTGCATTTTTATATCAATAAAAGATGAGGTGTCACAAACGCCTGCTCGCTAATTACAGCTCGGCCAGAAACGAAAAATATGCGCCGATAGGCATACATTTTGTATGTCTGCTGGTTTGATTTGTGTATTTCATTTATTCAAGTTTTACCATATAACAGGACGCTTTTTTTCAATATACACAAAAATAACAACAAATGAATACTTGATGAAGAAGATAAATCTATTTCGCCTTCGGAATGATTTCAGACATGTACTACGGGAAAACACCAGTGATCTCCCGGCGAGTGTTGACTTAATGTAAGACATGTTGTTTAAGCAGCATTGACAATGAACAATATGCATACACTTCGGCAACGTCTACCTACAACTGATTCATAAATAAGGTTCTGGATCCCGATTTCGGTGACTTGTAGCCAAGCATGCGGAAGCCGCAGATAATGGCGCATGTTGTCAGCGGCGATGACAAAAAGGAAGGTGCGTCAACGGTATGTATAGCAGTAATTATGCAAAAACAAACAAAATAAATGGAATTTTTACACTAGTGAATAACAGCGTCACAAGAAACGTTTTTCTCCAGACGTGTTGCAAAATTTTCGAACTAGGCTAAGTTGCAAACTGATTTCTACTGATGCCGTTGTTTGTGAGGATATTTGGCCTTACATTTCTTCTGATTCAGTTGGGGGAAAAAACATGTTATAAACATTGCATTATTAAATTCATTGTGATGTTGGCTGTCATTGAAGTTTCAATTGTCATACTACTTGATGTTTTGGAAACTTAAAAAAGTATAGTAGTTCTAAGTATTAAAAATATCTTTACTGCGCTTATATAGAGCAGGAGTTCTGACTTTACCAGTGCATATACAAACTTAAGGGTATTGTAGGCACACAAATCTAAGATAAGTCGGGTTAGGCACAGGTGCCGGACACACCAATAAGTAATGTGTGTATAATATTTTATAGTTTATACACATCATATTACTATTAGTGTGTCTAGTATCTGTGGTGCAGAAATTATATGGTGACTATGTTCTATTTTAGGGGGGGGAAAGCAATCAATATTACAACAGACAGGGATGGTTATTGATGGGAGAAAGGAGGATGAGAAATATGAACTTAACCCACTCTCTCATACCTTTGAGGACTTCATGAACTTTTCAAAAGGCTGCAAGAACTGTACCAACAGTGACATGACATTTGAAGTCTGTCAGTTACTGTATAGAGGAGGAACCTCTGACTAAATCATTTTCTATCAGACACATGACAGCCGAGTCCACAGATCCTTACATCAGCGAATAGTTCAAATGTAGTTCAAATGCTTTCCTCGCAAACTTTTCCTTAATGGAGAAGTCAGTGATCTTTACTTGGGACAGATTGAATCTGAGAATTTTGATGCTGAAAGCCTGATGAATGTGATTGAACAGCCCCTACTGACTAAAGGCACAAATGTTGGAAACTACGTTTGTTTTGATCAATATAACCCTATGGGTGGTGGGAGCAAATTGGAAAACATTAAAAATATGTTTTTAAAGATAGAACTACTGGTCATGGCTTCCTACTAGTTTTTGTCCAGTGAATTAAAAGTCAACGCAAATGTTAAGCAGTAAAAGAAATGTAAGATCCCTGGTATACAATATTGTACTTTTAACAATGCTTATGATCAATAAAATAAAATAAAAGTTATAATATGTAACTTGATGTTTGTTAATTTCGCTCGATTTTACCGTGTCCAACATTTGATATTAAATCTTGTGTGATATGAGAGGAATCGCACACATGATTGTATCTTGGCTATGTCAATGAAAGCAATTTTTTCTTAAGTTTTCAACCATATTTCTTGAAACTTCATTTCTAAATTTCATACATCAATTGTTCAAGGCAGTTTTAAGGTCAAGTTACATGTACATGTGACTGAGAAATTGTCAGTGCTTTCCTAACTAAGTATTCAAACCAAATTTTATAAAACTTGCTCCATCATTCTGAACATTAAATCATGCACTACCTGTTTGCACATACACATGTAACCTCAACTTTCAAGTTTTGTTGTCAACATTTGTTCTGAAACCAACAATAATGACAACTGTAATAACATAGTATGTGCTCTAGCTGGTACATTTGCAGTACTCTTTTAAAATATATTTGAAATTAATATGTGCTTCTTATTTTAAATGCTAGCCTATGAAGATGATAAAACTGAACATATGCTATAAAGTGTTGTTGTTTTTTGTGAAGAATTTATGCAATGGAAATAGAGGGAAAATAATGTATCTCTCCTAATCTTGTGTGTGTGTGGGTATGTATTTTTATATTTTGTTTATCTTATTCAATATTGAAACATACGACAATGTTGGTCCTTAGCTGTGCAGGGCAACTTTTGAGACTGATCGGATAAACAACATGGCCGACAGGCAGCCATCTTTGATTTTGATAGTGAAAGTTTGTTATCGCTATTTCTCTGGAAGTACGAGAGGGATCTTTCTCAATTTTGTTATGTAGGTTCCCCTTGTTCCCTTGTTGTGCAGCAGTTCCTGAAATGGATGGTCGCCTGCTCGCCAATGGCGATTAAAATCTTGCTCGGGTGACCAAAAGTTGTCAAAAGTGAGGTAGTCACTGGCCCAACAGAAATAGTTTGGGCGACTGTTGAAAAATTAATGAATAAAAGAAATTATAGTCCCTTCCACATTAACTGTGGGGCAGTACATTTTTCAGTTGTCATTACTTCGATTTGAATCGAACTGTTCTATATAAAAATACTGCCAGGGTATCTTCTATGAGGTGCGCGTTTTGTGTATTTCTTTGGGAATTACTAAAGACCTGAATGGAGTGGATCATGTCAGGTTTTAACTAGGGTTGAAGAATTAAAAAATATAATGTTTTATTCTGTTTTACATATTACAAACACTGTCATGTTATATGTAATTTAAATGTGCTGAAGCATTGTGTTAAATGCTGTGGAAATATTTCTTCCCAAAAATATTTGGGCCACCAATATTTTACTCGCCTCCCCCAAAAACATAATTGGGCCAGCCAATGCAGGATCCCCATTATCCTTTATTGTACATGTTTACTTTTGAAACGGATCAGTTAAACAAAATGGCCTACCGACAGCCATTTTCGATTTAAGACATTGAAGGTTTGTTAGTACTATTTCTCAGGAACAAATTGAGGGATCTTTCTCAAATTTGTAGGTTCCCCTTGATCCCTCGTTGGGCATGTTATATTTTGAGACTGATCATAAAAACAAAATGGCTAAAGGAAGAACTGAACAGATCTTTCTCATATTGCAATGATCGATTCTATTTCTTTCACAGCACTGTACTAGTAAATATGTGAAATGACAAACTCACTTTGAAGGTTGGATTTCATACATCACACAGCAGTATTAAGTTTAGATCAAAAGTTACCTCAAGGTGCATTTACTGTTAGCATGACTCGATCAAACAGATTAGAGGAAAGAAGAGAAAAGATCGAACTGACAAAGAACTAATGAAGATGGTACAATGGTGGGCGCCAAGATCCCTCTGGGATCTCTTGTTAACTTATTTGTTCCTAGGAACACAGATGCAAAATAATTCCATTTTTCATAAGAAGAGACCTTTTCACTGCAGTGAATATGTAAAACACTGTATTTAAAAGCTTTTCAAAGTTATTGAGAAACTTGTAAAGGTATTGGTAGCAGTCATCCACTTGTCTGTCCACAATTTAGTTCCAGCAAGTTAACATCCTTAAATATTGTTCTGTAAAAATATACACAGACTGATGCAAAATTGAAACCTGAACAAAATGCACACGTATTAAAAAGCATGCATACCCTGGTCAATGTCCACACTTTACAAGATAACTTGCTTGAATATATATTGATCAATATACAAACTAAGACGATAAGTTCAAAGTTGAGTGAAATCCATGCATAACTAATTAGCATACTGTACTCTGATTGGTCGATGGTTTTTGCCAAGTAACTTTGTCAGATAAGGCAAGATTCTGAAGAAACTTGGTTGATATCTTATTCAACAACAAAGGCAAAGTTCACAGATGAACACAATATGTGCATACTCTATTTAATGGTTTAAAATAATCGGGTATTGGCCAAAGGGGTAAATGCCAGTTTCAGTTTTTAATGTTTGAAATATGGGCAAAGGGAAGCAATTCCTAATTCCTATGCAAATGAATTATCTAAAGGTCTAAAATGATATATTCTAGAGGAAACTTGGTACCCCTCTTCTGACAAACCTATAAAGATATACTGTACACACAATAAGAATAACTTCACAGTGGTACAATTTTAAATATAACTATGATTCATAACAAATTAACAGTAAATCCTTCTGTACAATATGATGGGAACTTCGTCTTTATTTTGTTCTCCATTCCAAAAAACAATATATATGTATATACCTATTGCCTTAGCTTTCAGTACTTTCATTACTTTGATTCAAACTTTCTGTTATTTTTAGCATATTGACTTTAATATATTAAAAAGTTTGGTATTGAAACAAGTATTTTCTGAATTGAAATTCCAATTAAATTTGATTTGATTTTGTAAGTTTGAAAGTTAGTAAAGTTAGGTCATCACAAACCTTTAGTTTCTGTAAATTGCTCTGATGGTCAACGAGGGATGGGTGAGAATTATAATTTTGTGCAACTTTTGTCTCTTTTGTATCTTGAATTTTTCAAATAATTACATTTTAAAATGATGAAGAGTAACATGTAGATTTATATGTGTTCAAAAACTCCTTTAATTTCGTTTTGTTTTTACAGTAACCACAGATGCTGCTGCTTTAGTTGTTGAGGTGATGAACATATTTGTGTCGGGTAAGTAGAGGTACACAACAACGGTGTAACGATACACATTGTAGAGCTACCAGGGCTAGCTCTGGGTCTTGATTCAGTTTCGCCAAATTTAAATATGTTTCCAACATGTGCGCATGATGGCACGCAATCATGGACCAGTCCCAAAACATTTTCACCAAAACCAAAGGCTGATAATTTAGGAATTAACCATCCCTATCAATAGTTGTATTGGTGGTTATTTATCTCCATACTATCAGTTGATAATTCTTAAACAAAAATAATTTGTTGGCAAAAATGCCAAAAAAAAAATCCATACAATTTCTTTTTATCAGCAACTTAAATATATTTTTTTGCAAATTGTCGTCTCGATCAGAGTGCAAGAATGACACAATTTAATTCAAGTTGTACATGTCATTTTCAGTGCTGGCAATTATATATCCGTTACTGCTTAACAAAATTAAAAAGAAAGTCATTAAAAAATATCCCGCCTGCGTCCCAATATAAGCACACACAAGTGACTGTGCCTCGTTATTGCCCCGCATCACTTCACAGGATTTACTGCCGTACCTACTCTAAACCAATTAAAACAACCCTAACTTACTCTAACTTACCCTATTGTTCTCCACAGAGCACCCCTCGGAACTAGACAATATATTCAGTCCTAATTGAATAGTTGGCGATTTTGATATCAGACGGAGTCGGTGTGTTGACAGGTGATAATTTTGTAAAAAAAAAAAAAAAAAAAAAAAAAGGTCCAATATTCTGACCTTGCCATCATCGGAAATGCATTCAGTCGTGACATCGTAGTACACAAGCGGTGTCAATGGGCTAAATTTACCTGTAACAAATTGCTCAAGAATCAGTTATCACCAAAGTTGTTTTCTATTGACGACAGTAACTTAAATAAAAGCCCCTCGTCAACATTTCGCCAAGAGCAGTTTCAAATCGCCAATCATGTTTTACTTTCGCCATTGGCGCCAGTGGCGACCGCCAGCTCGAGCCCTGGGTACAAAACAACGGTATAATGATACACATTGTACAGGAACAAAACAACGGTATAATGATACACAAAGTATAGTTACAAAACAACGGTATAATGATGCACGCAGTAGAGGTATAAAAATACGGTATAATGATACACATAGTAGAGGTACAAAACAACGGTATAATGATACTCATAGTAGTCATACAAAACAACGTTATAATGATATAGCCAATAGTGATACAAAACAACGGTGTAATGATACACATAGTAAAGGTACAAAACAACGGTATAATGATACACATAGTAGTGATACAAAACAACGGTATAATGATATAGACAGTAGTGATACAAAACAACGGTGTAATGATACACATAGTAAAGGTACAAAACAACGGTATAATGTTACACATAGTAGAGGTACAAAACAATGGTATAATGTTACACATAGTAGAGGTACAAAACAAACGTATAATGATACACATAGTAGTGATACAAAACAATGGTATAATTATAAAAATAGTACAGGTCCAAAACAATGGTATAATGATACACATAGTAGTGATACAAAACAACGGTATAATGATACACATAGCAGTGATACAAAACAACGGTATAATGATACACATAGTATAGGTACAAAACAACGGTATAATGATACACATAGTAGTGGTACAAAACAACGGTATAATGATACACATAGTAGTGGTCCAAAACAATGGTATAATGTTACACATAGTAGAGCTACAAAACAAACGTATAATGAAATAGACAGTAGTGTTACAAAACAACGGTATAATGATGAACGCAGTAGAGGTATAAAAATACGGTATAATGATACACATAGTAAGGTACAAAACAACGGTATAATGATTCACATAGTAGTGGTCCAAAACAATGGAATAATGTTACACATAGTAGAGGTACAAAACAACGGTGTACTGATACACATAGTAGTGGTTCAAAACAACGGTGTAATGATACACATAGAATAGGAACAAAACAAACGTATAATGATATAGACAGTAGTGGTTTAAAACATATAGATAGTAGTGGTTCAAAAAAATGGTATAATTATACACATAGTATAGGAACAAAACAACGGTATAATGATATAGATAGTAGTCGTTCAAAACAACGGTGTAATGATACACATAGTATAGCTACAAAACAAACGTATAATGAAATAGACAGTAGTGAGTATAATGATACACATAGTAGTGGTTCAAAACAACGGTATAATGATACACACAGTAGTGGTCCAAAACAATGGTATAATGTTACACATAGTAGAGCTACAAAACAAACGTATAATGATATAGACAGTAGTGATACAAAACAACGGTATATGATACACATAGTAGAGGTACAAAACACACGTATAATGTTACAAGGTACAAAACAACGGTATAATGAAATAGATAGTATAGGTACAAAACAACGGGATAATGATACACATAGTAGTGGTTCAAAACAACGGTATAATGATACACATCGTAGTGGTACAAAACAACGGTATAATGAAATAGATAGTATAGGTACAAAACAACGGTATAATTATATAGATAGTAGTGGTTCAAAAAAATGGTATAATTATACACATAGTATAGGAACAAAACAACGGTATAATGATATAGATAGTATAGGTACAAAAAAACGGTATAATGATACACATAGTAGTGGTCCAAAACAATGGTATAATGTTACACATAGTAGAGGTACAAAACACACGTATAATGTTACAAGGTACAAAACAACGGTATAATGAAATAGATAGTATAGGTACAAAACATCGGTATAATGTTACACATAGTAGAGCTACAAAACAAACGTATAATGATACACATAGTAGTGGTTCAAAACAACGGTGTAATGATACACATAGAATAGGAACAAAACAAACGTATAATGATATAGATAGTATAGGTACAAAAAAACGGTATAATGATACACATAGTAAGGTACAAAACAACGGTATAATGATTCACATAGTAGTGGTCCAAAACAATGGAATAATGTTACACATAGTAGAGGTACAAAACACACGTATAATGTTACAAGGTACAAAACAACGGTATAATGAAATAGATAGTATAGGTACAAAACATCGGTATAATGTTACACATAGTAGAGCTACAAAACAAACGTATAATGAAATAGACAGTAGTGTTACAAAACAACGGTATAATGATAAACATAGTAAGGTACAAAACAGCGGTATAATGATACACATAGTAGTGATACAAAACAGCGGTATAATGATACACATAGTAGTGATACAAGACAATGGTATAATGATACACATAATAGAGGTATAAAACAACGGTGTAATGATACACATAGAATAGGAACAAAACAAACGTATAATGATATAGATAGTATAGGTACAAAACAACGGGATAATGATACACATAGTAGTGGTCCAAACCAATGGTATAATGTTACACATAGTAGAGGTACAAAACAATGGTGTAATGATACACATAGTATAGCTACAAAACAAACGTATAATGATATAGAGAGTATAGGTACAAAACAACGGTGTACTGATACACATAGTAGTGGTTCAAAACAACGGTGTAATGATACAAATAGTATAGGTACAAAACAACGGTATAATGAAATAGATAGTATAGGTACAAAACATCGGTATAATGTTACACATAGTAGAGCTACAAAACAAACGTATAATGAAATAGACAGTAGTGTTACAAAACAACGGTATAATGATAAACATAGTAAGGTACAAAACAGCGGTATAATGATACACATAGTAGAGGTACAAACAACGGTGTAATGCTACACATAGTATAGGTACAAAACAGCGGTGGTAGGATACACATAGTAGTGATACAAAACAGCGGTATAATGATACACATAGTAGTGATACAAAACCTCATTATAATGATACACATAGTATAGGAACAAAACAACGGTATAATGATATAGATAGTAGTCGTTCAAAACAACGGTGTAATGATACACATAGTAGTGGGCCAAAACAATGGTATAATGTTACACATAGTAGAGCTACAAAACAAACGTATAATGATACACATAGTAGTGGTTCAAAACAATGGCATAATGATACACATAGTAGAGGTGCAAAACAATGGTGTAATGATACACATAGTATAGGCACAAAACAAACGTATAATGATATAGAGAGTATAGGTACAAAACAACGGTGTAATGATACACATAGAATAGGAACAAAACAAACGTATAATGATATAGACAGTAGTGATACAAAACAACGGTGTAATGATACAAATAGTATAGGTACAAAACAACGGGATAATGATACACATAGTAGTGGTTCAAAACAATGGAATAATGATACACATAGAATAGGTACAAAACAACGGTATAATGATGCACGTAGTAGAGGTATAAAAATACGGTATAATGATACACATAGTAAGGTACAAAACAACGGTATAATGAAATAGATAGTATAGGTACAAAACATCGGTATAATGTTACACATAGTAGAGCTACAAAACAAACGTATAATGATACACATAGTAGTGATACAAGACAATGGTATAATGATACACATAATAGTGATACAAAACAACGGTATAATGATAAACATAGTAAGGTACAAAACAGCGGTATAATGATACACATAGTAGAGGTACAAAACACCGGTGTAATGATACACATAGTAGTGATACAAAACAGCGGTATAATGATACACATAGTAGAGGTGCAAAACAATGGTGTAATGATACACATAGTATAGGTACAAAACAAACGTATAATGATATAGATAGTATAGGTACAAAACAACGGTGTAATGATACACATAGTATAGGTACAAAACAACGGTGGTATGATACACATAGTAGTGATACAAAACAACAATATAATGATACACAAAGTAGAGGTACAAAACAACGGTATAATGATGCACGCAGTAGAGGTACAAACATACGGTATAATGATACACATAGTAGAGGTACAAAACAACGGTATAATGATATAGATAGTATAGGTACAAAACAACGGTGTAATGATACACATAGTATAGGTACAAAACAACGGTGGTATGATACACATAGTAGTGATACAAAACAACAATATAATGATACACAAAGTAGAGGTACAAAACAACGGTATAATGATGCACGCAGTAGAGGTACAAACATACGGTATAATGATACACATAGTAGAGGTACAAAACAACGGTATAATGATACACATAGTAGAGGTACAATACAACGGTATAATGATACACATAATAGTGGTTCAAAACAATGGTATAATGATACACATAATAGAGGTACAAAACAACGGTGTAATGATACACATAGTAGTGGTTCAAAACAATGATATAATGATAAAAAAAGTAGAGGTCCAAAAGAATGGTATAATGTTACACATAGTAGAGGTACAAAACAAACGTATAATGAAATAGACAGTAGTGATACAAAACAACGGTATAATGATACACACAGTAGTGGTTCAAAACAATGGTATAATGTTACACATAGTAGAGGTACGAAACAAACGTATAATGATATAGACAGTAGTGATACAAAACAATGATACACATAGTAGTGGTTCAAAACAACGGTATAATGATACACATAGTAGTGGTACAAAACAACAATATAATGATACACATAGTAGAGGTACAAAACAACGGTATAATGATACACATAGTAGAGGTACAAAGCAAACGTATAATGATACACACAGTAGTGATACAAAACAACAGTATAATGATACACATAGTAGTGATACAAAACAACGGTATAATGATACACATAGTAGAGGTACAAAACACACGTATAATGTTACACATAGTAGAGGTAAAAAAACACACGGTATAACGATACACGTAGTAGAGGTACAAAACAACCATATAATGATACACATAGTAGAGGTACAACACAACCATATAATGATACACATAGTAGAGGTACAAAACAACAGTATAATGGTGGACTTATATTCAAGGTCACAGGGGTTGGATATGTTAAAAACCTTTAAAAGAACTTCTTATGAATAACCAAGAGGCCTAGGGTGATGATATTTGGCTAGTAGCATGCTGGGATGATAAGGCTACAAAGTTTGTTCAAATGAATGACCTTGACCCGCTTCCAAGGTCACATGGGGTCAAATGTATTAAAATCTTCAAACAACTTCTTCTCAATAACTGAAAAGGCCAAGGGTACCGATTGGGGCCTGTAGCATGCTGGGATGAAGGACTGCCAAGTTTGTCCAAATGAATGAATTTGACCCACTTTCGAGGTCAAAGGGGTCAAATATCTTAAAATCTTCAAACGACTTCTTCTCAATAACCAAAAGGCAAAGGGTACTGATATTGGGCCTGTAGCATGCGGGGATGAAGGTCTACCAAGTTTGTTCAAATGAATGACCTTGACCCACTTTCAAGGGTCAAAGGGGTCAAATGTGTTAAAATCTTCAAACAACTTCTTCTCAATAACCGAAAAGCCAAGGGAACTGATATTGGGCCTGTAGCATGCTGGAATGAAGGACTACCAAGTTTATTCAAATAAATAACATTGACTTATATTCAAGGTCACAGGGTCCAAATATCTTAAAAACCTGTAATAGAACTTCTTCTGAATAACCAAAATGCCTAGGATGATGATATTTGGCCAGTAGCATGCTGGAATAATAAAGGACTACCGAGTTTGTCCAAATGAAAAAACCTTTTAACAACTTCTTCAGAATAACTAACAGGTATAAGGTGATGATATTTTGCCAGTAACATGCTCGGATGAAGGGCTACCAAGTTTGTTCAAAGGAATGATCTTGACTTATATTCAAGGTCAAAAGGGTTGGATATGTTAAAAACCTTTAAAAGAACTTCTTATGATTAACCAAGAGGCATAGGGAGATGATATATGGCTAGTAGCATGCTGGCCTGAAGGGCTACAAAGCTTGTTCAAATGAATGACCTTCATATTTTTTCAAGGTCACAGAGGTCAAATATGTTTTAAACCTTTAAACAATTTCTTCTGAATAACCAAGAGGCCTAGGGTAAACATGCTGGGATGAAGGACTACCAAGTTTGTTCAAATGAATGACCTTGACATATATTCAAGGTCACATGGGTCAAATATGTTAAGAACTTTAAATGACTTCTTTATAAGCAAAAGGCCAAGGGTGATGATATTTGGCTATTAACATGCTGGGATGAAGGATTACCAAATGAATGACGTTCGCCCATATTCAAGGTCACAGTGGGCAATATATGTTTAAATCTTTAAATGATTTGTTCTGTATAACCAAAAGGTCCAGGGTAATGATATTTTGCCAGAAGCATGCTGGGTTGGAAGACGATAAACTCTGTTCAATCTAATACCCTTGTTCGACATTCAAGGTCACAGGCGTCATATGTTTAAATCTTGTAATAGATTCTTATGAATCAAACACTGATATTTTGCCTGTATCTGTATTTTAGTCCACTTTTAAGATTACAAGTGTGAGATTAATTTAAGGTATGGTTTGTGGTCACAGGAAGATAACTCTAGTTGAAATCATGGAATTCTCCGATTCATTTGAGCGTTTAAAATAGGCGAAAATCGGTGTTGTTGCAAACATAATTTGCAAACATTCTGATACTGATCGTTGATCGTCCTCATACTCACTGTCATAAATTTGCAACAGCGGAGATCCTAACCCTATATCCATATATACCATTGCTTGGCATTAAGAGACAGACACAAGCATGATAGTACTGTTGATACTTGGATCTGACCCCACCTCTAGGGACTTAATTTCTTGCCAATAGCTTTGAAACAGATGAGATCCCCTCCCCATAACCATATATACGTTTCAATGGCATAAAGAGATAAACACTCATCATATATTAGAATCCACTCTGGGGTCTGGGTTCACCCCTAGGGACCTAATTCCTGGGTCACACCTTTGAAATGGTTGAGATCCCAAACCCATAGCCATTTATACCATTTCTGGGCATAAAGATCAAGGTGAGAATTAAGGCCCACTGGGCCTCTTGTTAACTTTTTGGTGTTCCTTCTCTTTTTCTGGTGTTGATTTTTGCAAGTAATAATAGATGATGTTTTATTGTCTGTTTCAGAAGCAGGATTTCGAGTCCTCAAGGAGGCAAAGGTAGGGGGAGAGAGATAGGTAGAAGGAATTAAGGTAACCCGTATCTGACCTCATACAGGTAACCTCTATCAGCCTCAGACAGGTAACCAGTATATGACCGCATACAGGTAACCTCTATCAGCCTCAAACAGGTAACCTGTATCTGACCTCATACAGGTAACCTCTATCAGCCTCAGACAGGTCACCTGTATCTGACCTCCGACAAGTAACCTGTATCTGACCTCATACAGGTAACCTCTATCAGCCTCAGACAGGTAACCAGTATATGACCTCATACAGGTAACCTCTATCAGCCTCAAACAGGTAACCTGTATCTGACCTCATACAGGTAACCTCTATCAGCCTCAGACAGGTAACCTGTATCTGACCTCAGACAGGTAACCGGTATCTGACATATTGAATGTAACCTGTATCTGACCTCAGACAAGTAACCTGTACCTGACTTCAGACATGTAACCTGTATCTGACCTCAGACAGGTAACCTGTATCTGACATATTGATTGTAATCTGTATCTGACATATTGAATGTAACCTGTATCTGACCTCAGACAAGTAACCTGTACCTGACCTCAGACATGTAACCTGTATCTGACCTCAGACAGGTAATCTGTATCTGACATATTGAATGTAACCTGTATCTGACCTCAGACAAGTAACCTGTACCTGACCTCAGACATGTAACCTGTATCTGACCTCAGACAGGTAATCTGTATCTGACATATTGAATGTAACCTGTATCTGACCTCAGACAAGTAACCTGTACCTGACCTCAGACATGTAACCTGTATCTGACCTCAGACAGGTAATCTGTATCTGACATATTGAATGTAACCTGTATCTGACCTCAGACAAGTAACCTGTACCTGACCTCAGACATGTAACCTGTATCTGACCTCAGACAGGTAATCTGTATCTGACATATTGAATGTAACCTGTATCTGACCTCAGACAAGTAACCTGTACCTGACCTCAGACAGGTAACCTGTATCTGACCTCAGACAGGTAATCTGTATCTGACATATTGAATGTAACCTGTATCTGACCTCAGACAAGTAACCTGTACCTGACTTCAGACATGTAACCTGTATCTGACCTCAGACAGGTAACCTGTATCTGACATATTGATTGTAATCTGTATCTGACATATTGAATGTAACCTGTATCTGACCTCAGACAAGTAACCTGTACCTGACCTCAGACATGTAACCTGTATCTGACCTCAGACAGGTAATCTGTATCTGACATATTGAATGTAACCTGTATCTGACCTCAGACAAGTAACCTGTACCTGACCTCAGACATGTAACCTGTATCTGACCTCAGACAGGTAATCTGTATCTGACATATTGAATGTAACCTGTATCTGACCTCAGACAAGTAACCTGTACCTGACCTCAGACATGTAACCTGTATCTGACCTCAGACAGGTAATCTGTATCTGACATATTGAATGTAACCTGTATCTGACCTCAGACAAGTAACCTGTACCTGACCTCAGACATGTAACCTGTATCTGACCTCAGACAGGTAATCTGTATCTGACATATTGAATGTAACCTGTATCTGACCTCAGACAAGTAACCTGTACCTGACCTCAGACAGGTAACCTGTATCTGACCTCAGACAGGTAATCTGTATCTGACATATTGAATGTAACCTGTATCTGACCTCAGACAAGTAACCTGTACCTGACTTCAGACATGTAACCTGTATCTGACCTCAGACAGGTAACCTGTATCTGACATATTGATTGTAATCTGTATCTGACATATTGAATGTAACCTGTATCTGACCTCAGACAAGTAACCTGTACCTGACCTCAGACATGTAACCTGTATCTGACCTCAGACAGGTAATCTGTATCTGACATATTGAATGTAACCTGTATCTGACCTCAGACAAGTAACCTGTACCTGACCTCAGACATGTAACCTGTATCTGACCTCAGACAGGTAATCTGTATCTGACATATTGAATGTAACCTGTATCTGACCTCAGACAAGTAACCTGTACCTGACCTCAGACATGTAACCTGTATCTGACCTCAGACAGGTAATCTGTATCTGACATATTGAATGTAACCTGTATCTGACCTCAGACAAGTAACCTGTACCTGACCTCAGACATGTAACCTGTATCTGACCTCAGACAGGTAATCTGTATCTGACATATTGAATGTAACCTGTATCTGACCTCAGACAAGTAACCTGTACCTGACCTCAGACAGGTAACCTGTATCTGACCTCAGACAGGTAATCTGTATCTGACATATTGAATGTAACCTGTATCTGACCTCAGACAAGTAACCTGTACCTGACTTCAGACATGTAACCTGTATCTGACCTCAGACAGGTAACCTGTATCTGACATATTGATTGTAATCTGTATCTGACATATTGAATGTAACCTGTATCTGACCTCAGACAAGTAACCTGTACCTGACCTCAGACATGTAACCTGTATCTGACCTCAGACAGGTAATCTGTATCTGACATATTGAATGTAACCTGTATCTGACCTCAGACAAGTAACCTGTACCTGACCTCAGACATGTAACCTGTATCTGACCTCAGACAGGTAATCTGTATCTGACATATTGAATGTAACCTGTATCTGACCTCAGACAAGTAACCTGTACCTGACCTCAGACATGTAACCTGTATCTGACCTCAGACAGGTAATCTGTATCTGACATATTGAATGTAACCTGTATCTGACCTCAGACAAGTAACCTGTACCTGACCTCAGACATGTAACCTGTATCTGACCTCAGACAGGTAATCTGTATCTGACATATTGAATGTAACCTGTATCTGACCTCAGACAAGTAACCTGTACCTGACCTCAGACAGGTAACCTGTATCTGACCTCAGACAGGTAATCTGTATCTGACATATTGAATGTAACCTGTATCTGACCTCAGACAAGTAACCTGTACCTGACTTCAGACATGTAACCTGTATCTGACCTCAGACAGGTAACCTGTATCTGACATATTGATTGTAATCTGTATCTGACATATTGAATGTAACCTGTATCTGACCTCAGACAAGTAACCTGTACCTGACCTCAGACATGTAACCTGTATCTGACCTCAGACAGGTAATCTGTATCTGACATATTGAATGTAACCTGTATCTGACCTCAGACAAGTAACCTGTACCTGACCTCAGACATGTAACCTGTATCTGACCTCAGACAGGTAATCTGTATCTGACATATTGAATGTAACCTGTATCTGACCTCAGACAAGTAACCTGTACCTGACCTCAGACATGTAACCTGTATCTGACCTCAGACAGGTAATCTGTATCTGACATATTGAATGTAACCTGTATCTGACCTCAGACAAGTAACCTGTACCTGACCTCAGACATGTAACCTGTATCTGACCTCAGACAGGTAATCTGTATCTGACATATTGAATGTAACCTGTATCTGACCTCAGACAAGTAACCTGTACCTGACTTCAGACATGTAACCTGTATCTGACCTCAGACAGGTAACCTGTATCTGACATATTGATTGTAATCTGTATCTGACATATTGAATGTAACCTGTATCTGACCTCAGACAAGTAACCTGTACCTGACCTCAGACAGGTAACCTGTATCTGACCTCAGACAGGTAATCTGTATCTGACATATTGAATGTAACCTGTATCTGACCTCAGACAAGTAACCTGTACCTGACTTCAGACATGTAACCTGTATCTGACCTCAGACAGGTAACCTGTATCTGACATATTGATTGTAATCTGTATCTGACATATTGAATGTAACCTGTATCTGACCTCAGACAAGTAACCTGTACCTGACCTCAGACATGTAACCTGTATCTGACCTCAGACAGGTAATCTGTATCTGACATATTGAATGTAACCTGTATCTGACCTCAGACAAGTAACCTGTACCTGACCTCAGACATGTAACCTGTATCTGACCTCAGACAGGTAACCTGTACCTGACCTCAGACAGGTAACCTGTACCTGACCTCAGACAAGTAGCCTGTATCTGACCTCAGACAAGTAACCTGTATCTGACCTCAGACAGGTAACCTGTATCTGACCTCAGACAGGTAACCTGTATCTGACCTCAGACAGGTAACCTGTATCTGACCTCAGACAAGTAACCTGTATCTGGCCTCAGACAAGTAATCTCTATCTGACCTCAGACAAGTAACGTCTATAATGGTAATGTATACTAACACGTACATACACTACCTTCCATTGCTGTACGGCCTACAATGGTAATGTATACTAACACATACAGACACTACCTTCCATTGCTGTACAGCCTACAATGGTAATGAATACAAACACATACAGACACTACCTTCCATTGCTGTACGGCCTACAATGGTAATGTATACTAACACATACAGACACTACCTTCCATTGCTGGACAGGCTACAATGGTAATGTATACAAACACATACAGACACTTCCTTCCATTGCTGTACAGCCTACAATGGTAATGTATACAAACACATACAGACACTACCTTCCATTGCTGTACGGCCTACAATGGTAATCTATCTAGTTAGTACAGTAGCATTAACCATTAAATATGTGTTGAGTGATTAAACCTTTACTCAAGCCATGTTTTTATGTTTGTTTCAATGTAATTTTCTGTTTTGATTTCAGACCGATGATTCAGATGAGGTGACCATTGAACATTTTGAGAAAATACTACCACAGCTGGTAAGTTTTTATGTCGGCTGACCATTGGTCATGGTGACCTATTGCAATCCGTCTTCCTCTGTTATCGTACGCTGTTTGTTGTGATATTTTTAGCCCTGCGTCCATGCATGATTCGCAGTTCGTTCATCGTCCGCCATCCATCCTTAAACAATTAATGTTATCGCTATTTCTCGGGAAGTACCAGAGGGATCTTTCTTGAATTTTATATGTAGGTTCCCCTTGGTCCTTAGTTGTGCATGTTTACCTATTAGACTGATCAGATAAACAAAATGGCTGACAGGCAGCCATCTTGGATTTTGACAGTGAAGGTTTGTTATCGCTATTTCTCAGGAAGTACTGGAGGGATCTTTCATAAATTTTATATGTAGGTTCCCCTTGGTCCTTAGTTGTGCATGTTTACCTATTAGACTGATCAGATAAACAAAATGGCCGACAAGCAGCCATCTTGGATTTTGACAGTGAGTGTTTGTTATCACTTTTTCCTAGGAAGCACTGGAGGGATCTTTCTCAAATTGTATATATAGGTTCCCCTTTTGGCCCTCGTTGTGCATGTTTATTTTGAGACTGATCAGATAATCGAAATGGCTGACAGGCAGCCATCTTGGATTTTGACAGTGAAGGTTTGTGATAGCTATTTCTCAACATGGACTGGAGAGATCTTTGTCAAATTTGACATATATATATAATATTATTTGTCAATCCTGTTAGCTAATACCTGTATACCTTTTTTAACTCAACCATTCGGAAATTTGTAGGATCATAATATACAGATTGACTATACATATGTATACCATTGAGACTTAGTTTTATCTTCAGTTATCTCCCGTTATTGTAAATAATTTCAATATGTTCTGTTGATAGAGATAATGAACGATACATACCGAATTTTGCAGTTGTAAGCTGTTTTGAATATATTCAACTTAGTTTTATTTAATTCTAGGAGTACTCTATACATGAATATTGTTCTAATGTAAATTTCCCGCCACTAATGTGAAATGCATACTTGCCAGGTGATTATTTCGACCCATGGGCCTCTTGTTTAACCCACCATTATCTGATGGTGGACCATCATCTGATGGTAGTCTTTTTTTAAGATTGTAGGATATTATCTAATTGTGGGCTATCATCTAATGGTCAACTATCGTCAGATGGTTCACCATCATCTGATGGTAGGTTATTATCTGATGGTGGGTTATTATCTAATGGTGGGCTATTGTATAAGGGTGGGCTATTATCTAATGGATGGTTATTATCTAATGGTGGGCTATTATCTAATGTTGGGCTATTATCTAATAGTGGGCTATTATCTAATGGTGGGTAATTATCTGATGGTGGGTTATTATCTGGTGGTGGGCTATTATCTAATGGTGGGCTTTTATCTAATGGTGGATTATTATCAAATGGTGGATTATTATATGATGGTGGGCTATTATCTAATGGTGGGCTATTATCTAATGGTGGGTTGTTATCTAATGGTGGGCTATAATCTGATGGTGGCCTATTATCTAATGGTGGCCTATTGTATGATGGTGTGCCATTATCTAATGTTGGGTAATTATCTTATGGTGGGTTATTATCTAATGGTGGGCTATTACCTGATTGTGGGCTACTATCAGATGGTGGGCTATTATCTGATGGAGGGTTATTATCTAATGGTGTGCTATTACCTGATTGTGGGCTTCTATCAGATGGTGGGCTATTATCTGATTATGGGTTATTATCTGATGGTGGGCTTTTATCTGATGGTGGGTTATTATCTGATGGAAGGCTTTTATCTAATGGTGGGTTATTATCTAATGGTGGGCTATTATCTAATGGTGGGCTTTTATCTAATGGTGGGTTATTATCAAATGGTGGATTATTATATGATGGTGGGCTATTATCTAATGGTGGGCTATTATCTGATGGTGGGCTATTATCTAATGGTGGGCTAGCTATTATCTGATGGTGGGCTATTATCTGATGGTGTGCTTTTATCTAATGTTGGGTAAATATCTAATGGTGGGTTATTATCTAATGGTCGGCTATTACCTGATTGTGGGCTACTATCAGATGGTGGGCTATTATCTGATGGTGGGTTATTATCTGTTGGTGGGCTTTTATCTGATGGTGGGTTATTATCTGATGGAAGGCTTTTATCTAATGGTGGGTTATTATCTAATGGTGGGCTATTATCTAATGGTGGGTTTTTATCTAATGGTGGGTTATTAGCTCACCTGGTCCGAATGACCAAAGTGAGCTTATGCCATATACCGTTGTGTCCGTCGTCCGTCTGTCCGTACGTCAACAATTTCTTCAAACGACTTCTTCTTTTTAACCACTAATTGGAATTTAACTAAATTTGACTGGAAGCATCCCTCGGTGGTGGGGATTCAAAATTGTACAAATGGTGGGGTTGACCCCCAAGGGGGCTGAGGGGCGGGGCCAAAAGGGGGCAATTTGGCTATATTGCTATAAACGGCTTCTTCTGTAGAACTATGCCATGGATATCGATCATATTTGGGTAGGAAGCCTTCATGTGAGGCAGGGATTCAAAATTGTACAAATGGTGAGGCTGACCCCCCGGGCTAAGGGGTGGGGCCAAAAAAGTGTATTACTTCGAAATGATTGAGATCCCCACCCAAGGGGGCTGAGGGCGGGGCCAAAAGGGGGCAATTTGGCTATATTGCTATAAACGGCTTCTTCTGTAGAACTATGCCATGGATATCGATCATATTTGGGTAGGAAGCCTTCATGTGAGGCAGGGATTCAAAATTGTACAAATGGTGAGGCTGACCCCCCAGGCTAAGGGTTGGGGCCAAAAAAGTGTATTACTTGGAAATGATTGAGATCCCCACCATATAACCATATATACAATTGCTGAGTATAAAGCGAAGAATACACATTTGCTTCCAGGATGGCTCTAGGGTCTGGCTCCACCCTTGCAGACTTAACACCTGGGTCATAACTTTGAAACGGTTCAGATCTCCACCCAAAAACTATATATACAAATGCTGGGCAAAAAGAGACAAATGCAGTCATGAAATTATAATTGATCCTGGGGTCTGGTCACAACCCCAGGGATCTAGTTTCTGAGTCACAACTTGGAAACAGTTGAGATCCCCACCCCATAACCATACATAAAATTGCTGGGCATGAAATATCTAATACAGATATACTACAAGGATTTGCCTTGGGGTCTGGCATATTCCCTTGGATCTCATTTGGAGAATATTTTGTCATGATTGCTAAGATATCCAGGTGAGCCCAGGGCCTCTTGTTATCTAATGGTGGGCTATTACCTAATGGTGGACTATTATCTGATGGTAGGTTATTATCTAATGGTAGGTTATTGTCTAATGGTGGGCTATTATCTGACGGTGGGTTATTATCTGATGGTGGGCTATTACCTGATGGTGTGCTATTATCTAATGTTGAGTTATTATCTAATGGTGGGCTATTACCTGATGGTGGGCTATTAACTGATTGTGGGCTATACTCAGATGGTGGGCTATCATCAGACGGTGGGCTGTTATCTACCTTGGGC